GCAGCGCCGTGGGGCAGCGGACGCTTACCAAGAAAACGACAAACAAATCATGAAACAACATGTTTTCACATTGGGAAACAAGACAAACCAAGGAAATACTGTGCCTGTCAACGTTTTCTTGCTGCAACAAATGAGAAGCAATCACGGTCACATGTTGTCCTTAACTTTTCCTCTTTTCTCCAGCTTTTCAATGCGAAAGCATAAACTTGTTCATGGGTTCTCATGTTTTTCCGAGTAAGGTTCCGCGGCCCCACGGCACCGCCACTAGGATTCCCTACAATTAAAATCAATTTGCAAAGCTACATAATCAAATTTCATCTGAGAACCCGTACACCCAAAATCAATGTGAACATGCAGACAATCAATTTCACTTTGTAAATCCCCACACATGAAATCAATGTGTCATCCACTTACACATTTACTTTGAGTGTAAGGGATTTCCAGAGGCAGCGCCGTGGGGCAGCGGACGCTTACCAGGAAAACGACAAACAAATCATGAAACAACATGTTTTCACATGGGGAAACAAAAGAAACCAAAGAAACACTGGTCCTGTTAACGTTTTCTTGCTGCAACAAATAAAAACAATAACGATCACATGTTGTCCTTAACTTTTCCTCAATTTTTCCGGCTTTTCAATGTGAAAACATCAACTTGTTCATGGCTTCTCATGTTTTTCGGGGTCAGGTTCCGCGGCCCCACGGCGCCGTCAGTAGGATTCGCAAACATTACAATCAAGTTGAAAAGCCACACAATCAAATCCAATCAAAATCAGTGTGAGAACCCACACAATCAAACTGCACTTGTAAATCCCCACACATGAAACCAATGTGTAATCCGTTTGCGGAAATACATGTGATTGTAATGGGTTTAAAAGACAGCGCCGTGGGGACCACGTGCATAAGTCTGGTTCCTTCAAGGAGTAGAAAAAAAGATTCCTTTTGTGGCGGCCTTATAGCCAGGTCTTACGTGTGGGGGGATCGGACCATGAAAACATGATCGACCCACGAACCCGGAAAGGATTATAGAAATGTAAGGCATTGCAACATTTCAAAGACACCTGATTGGGCGACGGGCACATGCAATGCTGAATGTATCGATGATGATGTACTGTGCCGACGGCTGTGCTGTGCTACGCCGTGCTGAACTGCCATGTGCCATGCCGCGATTGTGCTCTACATAGCGTTGTGGATCGAGTCCTCCCTGGCATCCGAGTCCTCACCGAACTGATCTGGAGCGTAAGCTCGAGCTGCCTGAGCAGATGGTAGCTGCCCCAGAACTAATCGACAGAGGGAGCATGCCAGGAGGACGTGCCGCGGCACGTCCCAAGGGAAGCGCCAAGCGACGTGCCAGGGGACGTGCCATGGGGACGCACCGCGGGACGTGCCAAGGGGACGCGCTACGGAACGTGCCAATGGACGTGCCGAGGGACGTGCCAGGGGACGCGCCGCGCGTTGTGCCAGGTGGACTCGCCACGGAACGCGCCAAAGAACGTGCCAAAATGCATCGTTGAGTGTATCGATCTTGATGTACCGTGCCGACGGCTGTGCTGTGCTGGGCCGTGCTGAACTGCCATGTGCCATGCCGCGATTGTGCTCTATATAGCGTTGTGGATCGAGTCCTCCCTGGCATCCGAGTCCTCACCGAACTGATCTGGATCGTAAGCTCGAGCTGCCTGAGCAGATGGTAGCTGCCCCAGAACTAATCGACAGAAAGAACATGCCAAGAGGACGCGCCGCGGAAAGTCCCAAGGGACGCGCCAGGCGACATGCCAGAGGACGTGCCATGGGCACGCACCGCGGGACGTGCCAAGGGGACGCGCTACGGAACGTGCCAATGGACGTGCACCGCGCGACGTGCCAGGGGGACTCGCCACGGGACGCTCCGCGGAACGTGCCAGGCAACATGCCAGGCTGCAATGCTAAGGGTATCGATATTGATGTACCGTGCCGAGGGCTGTGCTGTGCCTGGGCGACCTGGACACGCGAAAACACGTGTTTCGCTCAAGACATTGTCAGCACATCCTCATGCTAGACATCCGCCTGGGCAACCTTGACACGTGCAAACAAGCGTCTCGCTCGAGACATCCTCAACAAATGGTCATGCTAGACATCCGCCTGGGCAACCTGGACACGTGAAAACAAGCCTCTGGTTCGAGACATCCTCAACAAATCCTCATGCTAGACATCTGTCTGGGCCACCTGGAGGCGTGAAACCAAGCGTCTCGCTCGAGACATCCTCAAGACCTGGGCACGTGAAAACAAGCAATCCACTTGAGAGATCCTCAGAATTCAGGTCCCCAGGAGAGGACAATCTATAACACAAAACAAGCGTTTCGCTCGAGACATCCTCAGCGAATTCTGAAAAACAAGCGCTTCGCTCGAGACATCCTCAAATTTCAATTCGCCGGCCCTACGCGACCTCGTTATGTATCGGAAAAAAAATCGCCGGCCCTACAGCCGCCAAAACCGGGGGTAAACCTACTAAAAGAGAACCCTGGGCCGGCGCCCTTTCCAGGAAAACCGTCAACCATAGATTTCAGTCAAGCCGCCACAAAAGGAATCCTAGTGTACAGGCTGCTACACAGTGGTTCTACTTGTGGAAGCCATTGCAACACTTGAAATCATTGTGTAAGGCTGCCACAAAAAGATTTTGGTTTGTAAAGGCTGCTACACAAGAATTTGAATTGCAGGTCATCCGCGCAATGAAAACAGCGACAGTCACAGGTTGTCCCAGCTTTCTTTCTTTTTTTACAAACAAAAACAAATGTTTTTTTGTTGGTTCTGTTTTCTTCTCTAGCTTTCCTGGGCTCAAGGTGCCGCCACTCCAAATCCCCTACACTTTAAACCCTTTTGTATGGCCGCCACAAAACGAATCCTTTTGTACAGGCTGGTACAAACAGATTGTAGTTGTGGAGAAACCTGCAGGTCCTCTGCGAATGAAATCCTTGTGTAAGGTCGCCACACAAGGAATCCTCAGGCCGCTGCAACAAGATTTTACTTGTAGATCATCTGCACTATACAAACTGCGACAGTCACAAGTTATCCTGTTTTCTCTTGTTTGTCCCTGGTGAAAACATAAGTTGTTCAATATGTTTCATGTGTTTGCTTCTGGCTTACCTCTCAATATTTCCTGGGCTCAAGGTGCCGCCACTGCAGATCACCATCATCAAAACCTTGTTGTAAGGCCGCCACAACAGGAATCCCATTGTACAGGCTGCTACAAAAGGATTCTAAGTGTGGAGGCCACTGCAGAGTCGCCACAATGAAAATCATGTTGTAAGGTCGCGGCAAAAACTATAATTTTGTAAAGGCCGCTACAACAGGATTAAGTGTAGATCATCTGCGCCACAAGGATCGCGACAGTCACAGGTTGTCCTAGCTGTTTCCAGTTTTTCTCTGTGAGGACACATGATGTTTCATGTGTTTCCTGTTTTTTTTCCTGTTTTCCTTTCTAGCTTTCCCGGGCCCAAGACGCCGCCAATGCAGATCCCCACAATTAAACCCCTTGTGTAAGGCCGCCACAGAAGGAACCCCTGTGTACAGTCTGCTATCACAGGATTCTAAGTGTGGAGGCAACTATAGACCTTCCACAAGTGAAATCCCTGTGTAAGGTCGCTATCCAAAGAATCCTCTTGTAAAAGCGGTACAACAAGACTTTGGGAGACGAAGAGGAAAACGGGAAGATGAAGAAGAGCGCAATCGACCAACATGCATGCATGCATGAGGAAACTGATCCTGTAATCATGCAGACAGCGGGTCGGACAGGCCGGGGGGGGGGCTGGTTCCGGGGAAGGTGTCCAGACGTCTCAGGAGCCACGTTGTGAAACAAATGCCCACGGAGCATGTCTGGGGTGGGAGTGCACCGAGGAAGCGCAAACATGGATCAAAACCTGAAGATTAGCCACGGGCCCCCCTTCTGTGGGTGGAGGCGCGTGGATTAGCGATTAGCGCGAGGTCGGATGCCTCGGTCCTCTCCTCCATCCGCCCTCTCCTCCCTCCGCCTCGTTGCGTCGCTGCGGGTGGTTTGTTGGGGTTCTGTCGCGTCAGTGTCGCCCTCGTCGTCTCGTCCGCCGCCGCCGCCGTCGTCCGCGGTGCTTACCTGCTGTTTACCCTTACCTGGACCTCGCGCCAACTCGTCAGCGCACGCGAGGCCAACCTGGAATCCCAGAGCCCCCTCCACCGCGGAGCCAACCCCCGATCGAACGCGATCATCGCCCGCCTGTGGTCGCTGGTCACCAAGGGCCACTTCTGCCGTGTGCGGAACGCGGGCCTCTGTCAGAATCCTCTCAGCACGCAACAGCCGTGTACTCTGGATTCAGGCTGCAGCATCTGTGCGTAGCTGCTGATACGAAAGGGCCCATGAGCCCGGTTCCATCCAATTCCCGTCCCCTCTCTCTCTCACCTCCTCCTCCTTTTCCTCCTCCTCTTTTCCTCCTGCTCCTCCTCCTCCTTCTCCTCCGCTTGTATCATCATCCCTCCCCACCCCATCCGTTCTCCCCCTCCTCCTCCTCATGCTCCTCCTCCTCCACCTCCTGCTCCTCCTCCCCTCCTCCTCCTCCTCCTCCTCCTCCTCCTCCTGTTCACCCTCCTACTCCTACTCCTCTTCCTCCCTTTCCTCCTCCTGGTCCTCTCCCCTCCATGAGTTCCATTCCGCTCCCTCGCCTCCCTCCGTCCGTCCTCATCCTCCTGCTCGCTCCTCCTCTCCTCCTCGCACCCCCACCTCCCCTCCTCCTCCTCCTCCTCCTCCTCTTCCTCCTCCTCCTCCTCCTCCTCCTCGCTCCTCCCCCTCCTCGCTCCTCCCCCTCCCACCTCCCGACCCTTCCTGGCTCCTCCCTCCTCCCGTTCCTCCTCATCGTCCTCCTCTTCCTCCTCATCGTCCTCCTCCCCCTTCTTCTCCTGCCCGCTCCGGCCCCGAGGCCGACCATCGCCGCGCCCACAGGACGAGGAGGACCGACTCCTCTCGCACAACGCTCCGCGAGCGGGTGCCGCGGGTCGGGCTCCTTGGCCTTCGCCAGGGCTTCGTCGAACTTGGCGGGGTCGGAGACCTGGCCCTGGGCCTTGTCGTCGTTGCCGCCACCCTTGCCGCCGATGGCCTCGGGAGGCTCGGGGTTCCAAGATGGCGGGTTGAGGCTTCTCGGGTTCGTCCGAGGGGGCTGCGTCCAGGAAGGGAGGTCGCAAACCATGACCCTGCTGGGATCACGGTGGGCAGCGCCGGACATATCTACCCGTAGGGTGACATTCTTGCGTGCTCCATGGCAGGCGTCGGCTGTAAAATGGATCAACTTAGCGTGAATGCGCCGCACGCCGTGGCAGTCAGCGACAACGAGCTTCGAACCTAAGGGAAAACAATTTGAATATTCGTCCTGGGTTCGGGAATTATATGGATACCGTCGATCGGCTCTTGTTTTTGATTTTCTCGTTCTTGTAGTAGTGGTCCCAAATTCCGCCTCGTAGGGGATGTACTTGTCGCCATGGCTACTCCTAACACCCGGTAAACGAATGTATCAAAGTATGGTGGGTAGGAGCCGGCCAGCCGACTGGAGAGAGAGCGGGCGCGCGCGCGCGCGACTTTAACCTTTTTAGCACACGTGGCTATAATATCAGTGTCACCGCTGCCGGCGCAAAACTATGTAAAAAGAGGCGGCGGCGGCGGCTTCGGCAGGGCACACGGGGGGAACGTGGCTCGTGACTAGAAAAAAAGAAAACGGGAGACGAGGGGGCGAACGAACGTAGAGAAACAAAAACACCTAAACACGATCTGTGGCTATCCGTGAATATTTCCTGGATTGGCGCTGGACCCCCTCCCTGGCGCGCCGACCGCCCTGGGGGCGGCGCCAGAGACACCGCCAGGGGGGTCCACCGCTGGTCAAAGAAATCCGCCCCGACCTCCCAAAGTTTGTGTTCATGCCAATTTTCCCTCCCCGAGAGGGGGCGAGGGACGGACGAGAGAACGAGAGAAGAACGACGACGAGACGAACGACGAAGAAGAGATCACCACTAACAACTGGCGCGGTGCACGCTCGGGTACCACTGCGGCTCGCCTGCCGCCGCTGCTGGCGGTCGCTGGCGCTCGCTCCTGCAAATCGGACGGCGTCCGGCATCGCACCGCGAAAGAGACGAAGAAAGGATGAGGCTAAGTTGGTAGGCAGAAACTGTAAATCTGGAACCCATGAAAGTCGCTGGCTCTGGAAAATGCCTCGAACGCCGCGGCAAGCTCTAGAGCCTTCCGGAACATCCAGGAACGGCTCATCCTGGTCCTGGGCCCGCCCGATCCTATTCTTGGCCGATGCACTTCGAGGGTGAACCGCACATCCACATCGGCGGCCTCGCGGGCCATGTCCCGATGCGGATATGTTTGCCGCTCGTGACCACTTTCCCGGCACATCTGTCAGGTCTTGGGCCTGGCGCTGGACCCCCTTCCCTGGCGCGAGGAGCGCGCCAGGGGCGTCACTGGCGCCGCCAAAGGGGCTTCAAAAGCTGACGTAAGAGATCCGCGTGGACCTCTGGAATGTTCTGTATGTGCAATGTTTGATCCTCCACTCGGCGGCGCGCCTGGGGGGGAAAGAAGAGGGGGCGGGCCTTCTCAGAAGCCCTCCCTCCTTCTGAGGAGCCCTCCAAGTCCCCCCAGAGCCACAGAGGGCCTCTGAGAAGGCGCGAGGGCTTCCGAGAAAACCCGCTTTCTTCTGAGGCCTGCCCCCTCTGCCTCTCCTCCCCCCCCCTGGGCGCGCCGCCGATCAGCGGGGGGAAGCTGAGACTGGCAAGGCTTCGGGCTGCGCGCAGACAACCCCTCCAGCCAGTCCTGCCTGGCCTCAACAAACCTCTCGAGCAGCCCCAGCTGGCATCCACAAGCCCCCCTAGTACTCCGGGGCGGGGCGGGGCGCCGCCAGAGGCGGCGCCAGGGTGTTGAGACCGCCCCAGACTGCTCGGGGGGCCCTGCTGAGCCTTCCCAGACGGGAAGCGGCCCTGATCAGCGCCGCTCCGGGTGGGCTGGCAGCTCGCCGGACATGTCTTGTGGCACTCGCCCCGCCCCGCGGCCCGACGCGCTCGGCGGCGCCTGGTGCGGGGGGCCAGGAGCCGCGTCGGGAGCACGAAGGCGCGAGCCCGTGGCCGCCTCCGCGAGGGCTGAGCTGAACCGAGGGCGAGCCTCTTGAGCAGCGACCGACCGTCCCGTCATTCCTGTAGGCCTACCGCGACATGTTCGTAGAAGAAAATAAGGCTCTGATAACGAAGCCAATGATCTTAGAACGTGGAGCCGATGGAGTGACGCAAGACGGTCTCCACCATACATGTTCTAAGATCACTTTGTGCAGACCACAAAGAGGGTCTTAAAACAGTCTTTGGTGGCCCTACAAGTAAGCTAGGGCGCCTCGCCACTGCTTGAGCATCGCAGCAACGCGTCCGCCCAGCAGCCCCAGGGCATGCAGATCTGCCTGCGGGAGCAACGGAGCTTGCTCGTGGCCGCCTCAGCGGAGTAGCTGTGGCGCGACGCCATCTTTCTGAAAGAGCTCATGCTGGAATCGTTGCAGAGCGAGCGGCAACTCCCACGAAAAGCTTCCTCAAGACCGGACAGCCTTCCCCTGGAACGTAGCCCTTCGACTACCTCTCAGTCCGAAACAATATTTCAGTGCGGCATGCTCATGAGGCCGCCCCTGGCACCACGCCAATGTACTCTCACGGAAGACAGGCCAATGCTCGACGCTTCTGTGGAAGGTGCACTTTCGACTTGCTTTCCGCATGGCAAGCGACCGATACCTTGACGCTCCCTTGGACGCCTCGGAGCAGGACGCTGTAAGGGGACGGGCACCGCCTGTCCTACGCAGAACCGCACTTGTTGGTACTCAACGCTCCTTCCCCTCCACCAGCTGAAAGCTGCACCCTTATACTCAAACCCGAAAGAGGGAATGACGGCTAGCGAACTGGAACAGAATGTGCTGCTCTGCCCCGCACGATGGGCATCGGACCATCTGAGACAACTGTGGCACACCCAGGGTCCCTAAGAGTGCAGATTCAAGCCCCTCAGCGTGCATGGCGGTCTTTCTTCTGACTCTGAGATCCGACATCAAGAAACATGTAGCATCGTAGCAATATCTCGACTGGAGCCCTGAACCCTATCTTTCTGAGGCATTTTTCGAGCCAGATCGATCCGTGAGGGTCCTGGGGCCCGACGCAAGGCAAACTCGCCCGTTGTGGAAAAACTGCAGCGCGAGTATCTCAGGGGACGGGCTGTTGAGGATTCGAAAGCTGGTGGCCGTCTGGCCTCGCACTGTACCCGAGACAGAGCTCGACTCTCAGAGCTGTGACGAGACAGGCCCCGAGAGAGGCGGAGCGCGGCAGCGCCTCCAGCACGGCGCCCGTCCAGGCCTTCGCGGAGACCTTGCCCTTGAGGTCCTTCGGCACAACCGCAAGCACCGCCAGCTTGCCGCCCGCGTTGCTGATGAAGAACATCGCCTCGACTTGGAGGCGGCTGGGGGGTAGGCTCTGGATGGGCAGCAGCAGGAGCAGCCAGGAGGGGACAGGAGGCAAATCGGCATTCAGCGCCCATCTGGAGATGGCGGCCCAGAGGGGACAAGGAACGAAACTTATGTAACATAGCGCATCTCCACCTCTCTAACGGCTTGGCGCCGCGATGCCCCACCTCAGCTCTCCAGCGGGCTCCACATTGCCTAGACGCTCGGGTCAGGGCAGCGGGTCAGCAGAAGTCCGATTCCTGCCCTCTCGAGGCCCGCTTGGGATTCCTCTTAAGCGCCTCTTGGCGGGATTCGTGGGGGCCTCTTGGGGCCTCTTGGGGGGCTTGTGGGAGCCTCTTGGGAGCGCGTCGGGGGCTTCGGGGAGCCTCTTGGGGCCATCTTGGGGCGGTGACCTCGAAATGTACGTTCGGGTCTACTCTGGGCCGCTTCTTAAGGAAATTGTTGCCCTGACTGACACCCCAGACCCTCCCAAACACCCACCCTAAATGGACTTGTTGTTGTTGTTGTTGCTGTTGTTGTTTTTACAAAAAAGGTGGGGTCCCAAGAATTTCCACACTCCTCTCTCATCCTGGGGTCACCTTGCGCCATGCTGGACGCTCTACTTGCCCGCCCGCCCCCTCCCGTCCAGACCCAGGGTAGTGTGCAGGGTTTTGGCGGGGTATTGCAGTGTCTTTGCAGGGTGTTTGCAAGGGTATGTTTGCAAGGTGTTGCTGGGGTATTGTAGTCTTTGCAGAACTTTGCCGGGTCTCTCCAAGGGGGTGGGGGTAAATTGGGTTCCCCCTGACCCCTGGAAAGACAGAGGAAACACTTCGATTCTTGAAATAGGAAGGCGCCTACGTAACCCAGAACTCCGATGTCGTGTTTTTGTCCACAAAACGCGAACCTCCGAAAGTCCCGACCCTTTCCCATGCACGGATTTCTCATCCCGAGCCGTTCTTTGACAAGCTGGCGGCCCGGCGAGGGTCCCCAGAGGTCGAAAATTAGTAGAAAATCATCCGTCGTGATTTGTTTCGCGACGAGCGGGCGTCTGGAATCTGGGAATCAACAACAATAGTGCGAGCAAACGATGACGATTGAACAAATAAGTGTTTCTCGTCTGGATCGCTGGCGGAAACCTGCCAGCCTCGACGACGGTGATTAAGAACTGGGAATATTTTGTCATCATCCAATTCCCAGCGAGGCACTGCGACATTCCTGGGCATTTCTTGTTCGTCTGGTCGCATTGCTTTCTTTCAGCCAGCGATGGGGCATTCCCGAGGTCTCGACCTCTTCCCTGGGACACGCTTTTCATCCCGGTCCGTTTTTTGACGGCCCCGGTGCCCCGCGAGAGCCCCAGAGGTCAAAATTAGCAACAGGCATTGCGCCGTGGATTTTTCACAGCAAGAGGAACTCAGAGAATACCTATATGGCGACATCCGAACACTACCCCCACCAACCGTCGATTCCCCCGAATCGATGGGAGGCGGGGGTAGGGTGCGGATTTCGCCACGTGTTCGACGGATTCCGAAACTCACCTCCGCCGCCCATCGAGTTGCCCGAACCGTTGATCGGCGAGGGTTTAGGGTTCGGACAAGGATCGAACACAACGATGTTTAAAACAAAATGGCGCTTCAAACGAAAGACGACACCAAACCCAACGTCTAAACCGAACGTTTCAAAGGAAGCCGGTACCAGAAACGAAAGAAACGAGGCGTGCAAAACAGAAGCGAACAACGAAACGACACGACAACGACACACGGCACGAGAAACACAGCAGAGGCCCAAACCGAGCTGAACGACGCTGTGGTCGGCCTTGAGCGCCCGTGCCTCGCCGAGAGCCAGACGGCCGCGGCCCCGCGCACAGAGGCAGGGCGCCGCCGCGGCCGCGCCCCGCGGCCGCCTTGGTGGTGCACTTCTTGGACGCGGCGCCCTCCGCGAAGGCCACCGCCTGGCCGAGGGCGGGCGGCCCCCGGCGGCGAGGCGAGCCGACCGGGGGGCCCACGGCGGTGCGGTGGAGCACCGGCGATCGGGGGCCGATGGTGATTCGGCATGGAGCGAAGATTGGCGGCGCGCACAAGGGGGTGGAGGGAGGAGGGCGGGCTTCTTAGAAGGAGGCTGCTTCTTAGAGGGCGCCGGCCTTACATCTATAGATGAGGCCCGCGCCTTCTAAGAAGCAGGGGTGCTTCTAAGAAGCCCTCCCCCCTCCCCTCACCCCCCTCTGCGCGTGGCTGAGAAGAGGAGGGGGGGAGGGGGGGAGAGTCTGGCTCAGGGCCTCTGCTTCGTGCGACTGTTTGCCACAGTGCGTCCCGTGGGGGAGCGAGTCCACCTGCTCGAGACAGACGCCAGAAACAGCCAAGATCCACTCCATGGGGGGGGGGAAGGGGGGGATGCGAGGGCCCGCGCCGATCGGCAAAACGCTAAATAAGAAAACGATCACATACGTTCCCCCCTGAGCCCATCCCCCACCCCCCAACAATGCCCCTGAGGCCTGAGCATCCGCCGAAATCCGCGTAGCAGGGCGTGTCTCAGTGTTTGGCGTTCCTCCGCAGGCCGCCGTGACTTTCTCACAGCGTGGACCCAAGTCTAGACCCCTTCCCCAAAACCCTCAGAACCAAATTTCTTGGGGGTCCCAAAGCCGTATGTTGACGGACCGTGCGGTCACCGTGCGGTCACCTCACCGCACGATCCGTCACCGCACGGTTTTGGGACCCTGGAGGCCCCAACTGCTCGAGACCTCCTTGGATAACGACCCAAATCCCAAAACCGTGCGGTCACCCCGACTCCCCACTGATTCACCACACACTATGGTCACCGCACCCCGAGATTAGGAGGAAGAAAAGACTGCATAAACATGAGCTTTCGGACGTCCGCGCGGACCTTTGCACATAGATGCTCATAGCGTTCTGTTCTGCGAAATTGGGAGGCCACGCCTGGGAGATCTTCGCGAGAGCCAATCCAAAGCGAATAAACTCAATTACAAAACGATAAATCGAGATTAAGCCGGGATCAAGCCTGGTTGAGCCGGCATTCAGCGAGATGAATTGGACTTAGGCGGGACATTGCCGAATTTTGCCGGTTTTCGACCGCGGATATACCAGCGCCGCTACTGAATTCAACCTTCCAGGAGTTGCATCCTACGGGTTGAATCGAATCGGATCGACCAGGCAGGCCCACGATGAGGAAACACCGCTCCACGGAGCGCCCCTCAGAACGCTCTCAGCAGAAGAGGACACGGCTGCATTTGCAAACGTACAATGCAGGAACTCCGCACGGATTTCCTGGGTCGGCGCAGGAACCCCCTGGCGGCACCTCTGGCACCGCCTCTGGCGCGCAGGGAGGGGGTCCAGCGCCCATCCACGAAATGCGCAGTGACCTCCAGACATGCATGTTTATGCAATGTGTTGTCTTCGACGAGCGCTCGCAAAGCGTTCCACAACGCCGCGGAACTGGTGCGGCGTCGGGTACACCCTGCAGATCCGCTGGCTCTCAGGGGTACTACGATTTAACCAACTGCTCTTGATATTAATCTCCTGGGGATAAGACAGTTCGGTGTCTACAAAATCTTTTCCCGGCGATCTCAGCAGAAGGGTGAAGATGATAACGATGATGATAAAGATGATCATGGATGATGGTAAAGATAATCCTGGAGTTATCCTCATCCGAATCTAGCCTCATCATGCCTTCTTCTCAGTCGACCCGAACATCCAATCGGCAGGCATCGGTTGAATCTCGGCCGTGACATCGCATCGGCAGGCATCGGCAAAGCCGAGAGCTGGACCGATGCGGAAACTGGCAGGACGGACACGGGGTCCAAATCGAGCGAGCGAGGGGGGGCCAGGTACGAGAACAGGGCTGTGTACAACCAGAACGACCACCTTCCAACCAGGGATGAATCCCAACCAGCCTGAGATGCGGGGGACCTTCTGGGCGGACCGGCTCAGGGGGGAAACATCGACCTGGAATCGGCGATGCATCGCCGATTGATCGGCGTTAGGCCCCCGATAGCGGGGGGGGTACTGGGGGGAGGGGTGGGCTATCGGACCCCTATCGGCGATGCATGGGCGATTGGGGGTCGATGCGTTCTCCCCTGAGCCTACCCTGCCCTGACGATGTCCTTGCAGCCAGAACGGACTGCACAACCAAAGCAGGTGGGCGTCGGGCGGGCACAACACCTCCGACGCATCGGATACCCCTCGAATGGCTCACGGCGCGGGCCGTTGGGCGAGTTCGGACTGGAAAATGCACGTTCGGGTTGCGTTGCGCGAGGGGAAGCGACGACGACGACGACATGCGATAACAGCAATAGCGCCAGAAGCCCTCTCCTGCTCTCCCCGTGGAGGAGGTGACGCCCGAAACCCAGAAAACTTAAAAGTTGTTTGTGATTCGGGTGTGTTTTGTTGTTGTCCTGGCGTTTGTTTGCGTTGCGTTTGTTTTGTAAGTTTTGTTTTAATGTATGTATCTATTCCACAAACAGTTGTTGCCCTCAAGGGTTTTTACTTGGCTTAACCATCTCGGGGTGAATGGCGGCTTTTGCGGGCGGTGCCGCCCGTCGCCGCCCGTCGCCGCCGTCCCCTTTGCCTTTGCCGCCGCTCGGGGCGAGTGGCGGCTTTTGCGTGCGGTGTCGCCCGTCGCTGCCGTCGCCGCCGCATAGATTTACATTTTCCAAAACAATAAATAAATTCCACCCCCCCGGGATTATTGCCCCCCTTTTCGTTTTGCAACTTACATATGATTCTGCCCCGCTGCCAATCCTAAGTATGACATCGTACCATCCCACAACTCAACGGGTATCACCCCCCCGTCATCCTCTGGAAAAAATGTTATGCGCGCGCACTCGTTTGTCAAAAATCATGAGCTTGCAAACATCCCGGGCAAACGTTTGACAAAATGCAAAAGGCGCGTCGTCGCGCGCGCATGTCGAAACCCTTCACTTCACAAACCTTCGGGTCCGGAAGGATGTCGAAATCGAGTACCCAAAGAACGTATAAACACATGGTTTCGCAACACGGTTTTCTTGTAAAGAAACGTGCGTGCGCGTGCGTTCTTGCGAATTTTAGGAAACCGATAGATTTGCCAACATTTTCAAACATATTACCAAACTGGCTTCGCGCGCGCATGTCGGAATCGTGCGGTAGCCCTTGCGCGCGTGCCGTCGCGAGAACCCTTTTGAAAACATGAAACGAAGTGCGCGCGCGCGTCGTCGCGCGCGCACGCTGGGATCCTAGAAAACCTTGGGGTTCGTAGCGATTTCAAAACAAAATGTCAAACACACATTCAACAACACATGGTTTCGCAACATCAACTTTCAAAAACACTTGCGCGCACGCTCTTGCGAATTCTTTAGAAAAAACATAGGTGTTTCAACATGTCCATGGAAATCTGCCAAACGGGCCTCTGCCCTTGCGCGCGTGCTGAGGGGGCACGATCCGTGTCAAATAAAACCATGCGGGCCACTCTCGCTCGTCGGCCGCGCGCGCATGTCGAACTCTGTCCAAAACCTTCATCACCGACGCGAGGACGCCGTTATCGTCGTCGGCGTGATCAGCATCGGCTCCCGCACTGGCCGCGCTTTCGTCGGTGCGAACATTGTCGCCAACATCGCCACTACTATCATCCTGCCTACCGTTGCCGGCAAGGCCATGATACCGCGCCCGCCCGAGTCGCCGACTTGCAAAGAAGAAGTGTCCGCTGGGATGCGCGATGCGCCCAGCGGTCAGCGCCACCGCGCCCGCGTCGGTGGCGCCAAAGTAGCTTGCCGCTGCGCGCGCGTCCTAGGGTTGGCGCGGCCGCAGATGCACCAACTAACGCGAAGCATGCATCGTAATCGCCACCGCATGGGTTTTGCAAACCAAGTTGCGGGTGGGTGGGTGGGATGTTTGCAAGAGCATGGGATGTGTCAACACGTTGGTTAAAATCAATTGCGCCACGTAGGCTGCACCACATTGATTGCGTTACGTAGGTTGCCGCGTGTAAATTGCACCGCACAGATTGCACCACATAGATTGCACCGCATAGGTTGCATTACGTCGGCTGCCGCGCGTAAATTGTACCACACAGGCTGCACCGCATATATTGCATCACCTAGGCTGCTCCGCGTAGATTGCACCGCGTAAACTGCATTACATCTGTTTCATCGCATACGTTGCACAACATATATTCCACCGCGTAGACTGCAAGCACTCACTGTTTGGGTCCACGCTGGCTAACCTGTATATACATACACACAAATTTCGGACTGTGGGCGCCGTTTTCGAGTCCCGGGACAATCAATAGCGAATGCGGAACCAACCAGTGTCAATGGCCCCCCAGGGAGGAGGTTGGGAGGTCTGGGGCCGCCCATCGAAACATTACCGTCTTCCGATGTCCAGCTGGGAACAAGAACAGACAACACCGCCACCATCACGTAGAGCCGAGGAACGTCCTCGTGGTTGCGTGGCGTCCCAGATTGTTTGGGGGTCCCAGCCGTGACATCTCCGTTCCTCTCCGTCGGGGAGGTGTGGTGGATCTCCTCGCGGGAGGTGGCCCCCGCTGCTGGTGGTGCCGCTTCTACTTACTCCGACCCCTCTGGATACGAAAAAAGATGAGATGAATGCGGCGAGGCATGTACGCCGCAACAGATGTTGAACAGACACCCGACCTATGACTTCGACCAGGTGGCCAGGAAGATACCTGGGATGCAGCTCGACGCCAACACAGCCTCATCAGCCTGAGAACGCAACCTTGCAAAACGCCAAATCAGCCCAGATGCCTTCCAGGATCTCATGTAGATGTAATCACATCAAACCAAAAGAGCAACTCGACATGAGCTCAATCTTTGGCTGCCAAGTGCTCGCGCAATGACAACGACCGCCGAGAATGGTCACCTTTATGGGCAGTTGATCTGGATCAATTTTGCAGACACAAACGCAACGGGATGTTTGGACTACTGCGCAATGTAGATGCGTGACGGATGGATATGTTGTCTTGCCGCCCTTTCCACCGGATTCGATGTGCCACTTTTGGATGCGCCCGACGTGCTTAGGTCAAGGCTCTGCAACAACAAACCACCCGTCCTGTATGACCCGATCCTGCGTGGGCTTACATGTTGGAGGCATGCGCGTTGGCACCGACACCAACAAGGGGGGCGTCTCCGAATGGGGAAGATGCTCGCAAGTCTTGATACTGGTGGTAATCATTCGGCATGAGGCAAACCACAACGACATGCAACACGATGTTGCGTTAAAAACAACGAAACCAACAATTCAAAGTAGCATTCAAGACGGAACTGGTGCCACGCGAGAACGAACAACAATTCGAGGTCGTCATCCAGTGGCGAACAACTAAAACAGAAACGAACTCCGCAGAGGACGCTCGAAACGAAACGAACACCTACACGAAGACCTGGATGCTATGGCTGGAGCGAGGGCAGAGACATGGGCTAAGGCTGAAGCTATGGCCGTGGACGGGGCTGAAGGGCAAGCCTGAGCCCTAACCCCAAGGCCAAACACCAATATTCCAAAAGCAAAATCATGAACGTAACGACAACAGGGCTAGAACAAAACGAAGCATAACGAAAGCAGCATGTGAATACAGTAGGGAATTGGCATGCGAAAGCAGCACGTCGAGTTGAACATGCAAGTGGTGGGTTCACTGGAACTTTCCAGACGAACATGGGAATTTCTGGATTCCGATAATAAAGAACTCCCCCACGCGCACGCGTTCTAGCTTCCATTATGGAACTGGCGATGCGAAACCAGCATGCTAAGTTAGAAATCCAAGTGGTAGGCTCCAGGGGGTTACTTGAGCTTTCCAGGCCTATAGTTCAACTTCTTCGTTTATACAATGCAGAACAACCCACGCGCGCGCGGATGATGCGCGTCAACCGCGCGCACGTACTTTATGAAAACCGACACAACATTGCCATCTTGACTACGACAACTAAAGTGTGACACCACATTGTGCCACTCGCTATCTGGTTTCAACACGGGCTAATATATTGTAAGCGCATGCGTGCGCTAGCGGCGCCATCTGGAAACAAAAACACAAGCGGCACGACAAACGACCACGCACCGCGCAATGAACACCAAACTAGCCGCGTGATAATGGACATCGAATCACTATTCCACGCAACAATAACATCATACCACAACGATGGCGCACATCAAAACGCACAGCGGATCGAGCCACGCAACGAACAAGGATAACAACAGGAGAAACGAACTGCAGACTTGTGTACGCAACTGCGCAACACGAAAACGAGACGCGCGCCCAACAGACGCGTTTACGCATCAAGAGCGTTCAAACTGACATCCTTAAACAACGCATGGGCAACTAGAGAAACAACTAAAGTAACAACTGAACGATTATTAAACATACACGAGGCATGGTTTAGGTTTTGTCCCTAACACTTGACCACCACCTGAAAACAACAACGTCCCTACCACTATCACAAGAATCGAAATCCTCCTCCCTCGGTGAAGACAACCGCGGATTGATGCTGGTGCCGACCACCATGCTGAAGGGGCCCCAGGACACACAAATAAATACACACAAATAAAAAGACTCCCCATGTTTTCCTATATTTTCTGGGTTTTTGTCTTCCCCCCCACTTCCCATATTTTCCCATATTTTCGAAGGAATCGAGGATTAATTGTGTCTGTGTGTTTCTTTTCCTCCTGACATGCTCCAGACATGACCCCGTCGACGGTGGCCCCGTTGACCATGGCGCCCCAGGGGAGGGGAGGACGGCAAGGAGGAGGAACAGGAGGCGCCGAGGAGAACGAGGAGAAGGAGGCGCCACTCCGCTCCCTCCCAACGCCCCTCCCTCGACAATGGTCCTCTTGACTGTGGCGCGCCTGGGATCTGAGGCACCCGTCGTGCATGGCCGGCCGGGCGGAGGCGGCGCCCCCTTCCCCCCGCTCCGCCACCGCTCCAGCCCCGAACGCGCCGCCGCTCCCCTCCCTTGACCTGGGGCCTGTCTGTCGCGCATGGGCGCCGTTTTCGCAGCAAGGGCTCGCGCCTCTCCTGCCCTCGGCGAAGAAAGCATGATGCACACGGTCGAACCTTTGACAGAACAACGTCCTGCAAGAACAGGAGACCCTCCGCCGGCCTTCGAGGGTGCCCTCCCCCCCGGATGCCCCAGAATGTCCAGTGAGCACGAGGAAAAGCAGGGTACCCGCCCCGAACCGACCTCGATCTTCTACTTCGGTCCGACCGTCCGTAGAAACTTTCGGAGCTCCGCGCGGACTCCTTGGATATGCGCTGGGCCCCGTCCCCCCGGCGGCGGCTCTGGCGGGAGTACAGCACCGATCCAGGAAATCCGCGCGGACCTCAGGCAGTTGTTGCTCATGAACTTTTACTCTTCGTCGACTGTCGAGCCATTGTCACAGGACCTGGTGAGAAGGCGTGCCGCACAAGATGAAGTGGGACAACATGCATAGAGCGGGAGGGTGAAGCGGGATAACCCCCCGTAGCTACCCGCCGCCTTGCCGTCGTCAAAAACGCCCGCGTCCACAACGCCGACGTACATGTCGCCCGAAGCCTCGGGGAATACGAAATCCCCTCCAGAGCCATCCTCGGAACACGCGACTCCTGCGGCAGGAGGGTCTGAGGTCCGACAGCAAGGCCTTGCTCTGGAGCGCCAACCGACTTTGGCATCCCTCATAGCCGTGTGGTGCCGTCGATGTGCCCCCCCTCATTCCGCGTCGGCCAAGATGGCGGTGGCAGGCGCGTCTGTAGAGCGGGCGGGCCGCGCCAGGCACTGGGCACACGAGGACAGCGCAAGCAGACCCCCTGTCCCCAATGTCTGTGGCCCTCTGGACTCAGTTCCCCTCCCAGTGGGTTAGTCCTTTCTTTTGCCTGTCAGGGGCGACGAGGTGGAGTCCGAGGAACGACGGCTGCCGACACCGCTGCCCAATTTTTTGGGGGGCCTCCCGGGAGGCCCTCGTCGCCACCGCCGGATTCGCCGTGGACACACAGATGGAAACATGAGAGGGCGGCCGCGTAGGCGGAAGGAGGAAGGAGGCATCGGCTTGGCGGGTGAGCGCGCAAGCGGTCCGAGATGTCGAAGGTGAGCGTTTTTTATTCGGCGTTTCGACGTTGGGCGGAAAGGGGGGTGGGAGGAGGGGGTGGCGGTCTGGCTCCAGAACTCTGCTTAGAGCGACTGTTTGCAAGAGTGCTACCTCTGGGGGCGACTCCACCCGCTCGAAACAGGCACCAAGAACAGCCAAGCTCTACTCCATAGGGGAGGGGAGGGGGGGTTTGGGGGCCCCCGCCGATCGGAAAAACAATGAATAAAGAAACGATCACAAGGTGGGGCTGCGATTGGCCCATCCCCCGCACGCGGAACGTGCCCCACAGCAGAGAGTTCGGCGCGCCTCTGCGTGCCTGTTTCTGGGGGGGCAGTCTCCTGCCTGCCCCGCGTTGCGCGGTACTTGCGGAGAGGGGGCCACGTCCTGCGCTAGACGCAGCTACGTAGGCTTTGGCCCTTCGCCAAGCTCATCAACGCTTGCGCGTTGAATCTCCCAGAGTCGCCAAACCGTCCCACGACCATCTCGGGACGGATGCAGCATGCCCCAAGACCAGACCGAGACGGCCCGAAGACGCTCAACATGCCCACTATGTCCCCCATAGGCACACATTTCCCTTACGAAAGCCCCCTTCCCCCGAGGCCGACAACGTTCAAAAACATGTAGATTTCAGTGTATTGTTCACCGTAGCATCGCTGGCGAACGCCGCACTACTTCTCCAGATGGACTACATAAGCTCCCAAGGCGGCCCCCCAAAGGCCCAATGACGGCCCCAGGACTCACCACACAGCACGACATCGCTCCAAGACGCGTCCAGATGGCCTGATTCTGGCTCTACCGAACCTTATCGGGAGACCTCGACAGGACAGAGGGGAGGGGGATGAGGAGGAGGAGGAGGAGGAGAAAGAGGAGGGGAGGAGAAAGAGGAGGAGGGGAGGAGGAGGGGAGGAGAAAGAGAAGGAGGACGGGGAGGAGGATCGAGGGGAGGGGGAGGATCGAGGGGAGGGGGAGGAGGAGGGGAGGAGGATCGAGGAGGGGAGGAGGAGGGGAGGAGAAAGAGGAGGAGGACGGACGGCTCGAATACGACCAACGGGGGCGCAACACAGTGAGGCTTCTGCCGTGACTGGGCCCACGAGGACACAGCAGTGGCTCTACCGAGCATCTTGACGCAGCGCCAGCGACGCTACGGGGTGTGCTAAGGGCAGCTGGATGCTGCTCTATTTTTTTTTTTTGGGGGGGGGGGGTATTGAGGGGGTGCTGGCCAATAACTTCGAGAAATTCACGAGCATACGCCCATGCCGCCGCACCGTGTTTGGACTTCCTTGAGGCTCCGTTCCAACGCCAGACCAATGCATGCCTTTTCGGCTCTGAGGTCGAGAAACTATCCGCCGTACCATTCCTGGGTAGAGAATCGACGACGCTTCGGGAGACGCCAAGGCAATACGGTGCACACAAGTCGTCCGCGTAAACATCGCGTGCTCTTCTTGCCTGACACCCTATCGCAGTCCTGTGCGGCTGCCCCGTGTCTGATGCTCTCCTGCAGTCAAGCCAGGGCGAGGAGCTTGAGAACTACCTACGACCACCGCGGCGGACAATACGTCCCGAAATCGGAACACGTGTACTGGGAACGCGCTGCCAACGGTGACCTCGTGGGGCATCGATGCACCGACAGACGGCATCACGCGCCAACAAGGGCTGGCCGACAGAAACGCTCACCGAAAAGACCACGACCACCTAGACTACCACCATGGTTCCCGCTATGGCCAGTACTCGGCAACGTGTACTTTATCACTAGTCCAAGGGATACCAGCACGATTTACCCAACCACTGGGACATCTGGATCTCATGAGTGCAAGAATTACTGGCGTATGACTTATGATTTCTTGTTGTGGCGGGTGTGCACTACAATGGAGACCCGACCACAAGAAACCTTCCAGAACCGACCCTGGACGTCCATTGATTCTTGGTGTGGAAGCGTTACGCCTTCCACAATAAAACCATCGAAACCGAAACAATCCAGGGCACCCTGGAAGCAAGCAGGATGTTTCTTGGTATGGACTCCGCTGTATCCCAGTCACATAATCAACATACTGTCTCATACGTATGTACTTATATTGTATCGCAACCGCGCGTGATTCACATGCTGGGGGCCGTCCCTTTCACGGCCGCGGGTGAGGTTTGCACCCGCCGAGATGTGCGCACCCGCACGGCATAAATGCACTGGTTCTGCCCCTGGAGAGTTTCACAGAGACGCTGCTTCTCTCGTTTCTACTCCTCCCCGCCTGCGTTCACCTTTCTTCTCCATCCCCTCTCTCACGTGTCAGAGGCGCCCGATTCTGGCGCTTCCATGGCTCCCTCGCAACATGTCTACCTTCCTCGCTGCCACCGTCAATCTCTCCCTTCCCGTCCCTGTCCCTATCCCTGTCCCCGCCCCTGCCGCTCCTTCTCTTCCGTCCCCTCTCCACTCTCCTCTACAATCGAGTTCGATTGGAGAGGACACGTGAGAACAAAACGATATCCTTCCGAGGGCCACACTGCCCAAAGAGCGTCAAGGACATGCGACGCGATACACAGGACATAACGGACGAACGAGCGAAACTCCGCCGTCGCCGGGAGTCCTGGCGTCCCTGCAAGCGAGGCAGGCGTGCCTGTAGCACGCAGGCCCTCTACGAAGGCCGCGGGGAAAATAACAGCTCTATGCAGATGGCTGGCTAAACGATGCGCTGGCTTAGCTGCAACAGACACGCCAAACACGTGACTGAAGGAAAAATAAAGAAAGACAGAGAGAAGAAAGGGTACCCTTACTTTTGCGGGGCCTCCCATACATTCGACGTTTGTTTTTCTTTTTTCACCACGTGGCTACCCAGAAGTATGGGCCCTTCCCCTGCATCGGCTTTCATCCCCGACGTTTTTGACGGTCCTGTGGCCCAGAGAAGGTGCCGCAGGCCGAAAATGAACAACAACCTTATTTTCGTAATTGTGTTCACAACGAGAGAATATCATGATTTGGGAGGCCTTGAATCACTCCCTCCCCTATCGTTCGAACGCTCTCCATGCGACCCGGGTGGAGCAACACTCCCGCATCCTTCGAAGAAGACGGCCCCCCACCTCCGGGGTGACAAGGGGCCAGTCCGAGGGGTTGATGGAACGCCTCGTGGGGAAATCGACGACGTACATGTATGAACACATCAACCAGGTGTCTTCTCACTCCATCAATCGACCGGCGGGAAACCAAATAGCCTGACAACGATCCCAACAGTATGCAGCTGGAGTGCCGCGAGCCAAATGATACGTAGGAGAGGGGCGATGAAACTACGAGTGGCGAGCGGCATAGCGGGCACTGCCACTGAGGCTTTCGGTGGAGCTCCCTATGGTACCACGAAGCGTGTCGGTGTGCGCCGAACTGGGACCAGGGCCGCCGTGCGGACCCTGCCACTGGAGCCTTCGGCGGAGCTCCCTGTGGAGCCACGAAGCGCGTGAGGTGTGTGTGTATATGTATGTGCGTGTGTGTGTGTGTGTGTGTGTGAGAGTGTGTGTGTGTGTGGAGGCATTACCTGCCACGCGTTTCTGCTCGAAGAGGCCGGCCAAGCACAAGAGGCGCTCTGCATGATTCCTTCCCATCTCCATGGCAGTGTCCGACGGCGCCCCCGTCGCGGTGATCGGGGACCATGCTCAGCTCACTTCCCCTCTCGCCTCTCGATCCGAGGCGGCAGTCGCTCGAGGGGTTGAGGTCTCCCTCCTGGAGAGAAATTCGCCCACCTGATGCAGCTCGACGAAGGCCGGGCCACCGATGTACACCGACTTGCCCCGCTTCCCGTCCTGAGCGTACTGCGGCGACGACCTCCGCTGCGGCCTCTCGCTCGACGCGCTGCGCGTCTCTCGGAAGCCGATCCCCGGGTTCCAATGTCCCCTACGCAGCCAGGACCACGATGAAGCGGAGGGGGGCAACCTTCTCTGGCCGTCCGCCCCGCGTCAAGGATCTACTGTCCCGGTTCAGTCCAGACCCGGGCCAGTCAGGCTTTGCAGGATCTTGCAAAATCCTGCAAGATCCTGCACCCAAGCCTGGGTCAATGCGACCCTGGCTCTGCGGGATCCTGTAAGATCCTGCGCTCTGACTGACCCTCGTTTGCATTGACCCCCGTCTCTTGAGCCCCGACCGCGCTCGCCACCGCCTTGCTGGCTCCCGCTCAATCGCGTGGGCAAGCACCCCCGCTACTGCGGCTGCTCACTGCCCTCCCCCCCGCCCTCCCTGGCCGCTGGCGCCAGCCCCCTCCCCACGCTGAGGCACTGCTTCGACGGGCCCTGTGGGCGCCTCCCTTCGTTCTCCACGTGCCCTCCGTGGATTTCACCTTGGGGGCCAGCCTCTGCAACCCCAGCGAGGGGCGGGTCGGGTCGTGGAGCAGCTCCTCTCCACGGCCATGTCGCATGTCGGCCCTGACATCTATGTTAGAGGAAAGAGAACTATGCACATGCACCGATTCTGGCCAGGCCCATCCTGAGCCCAGGATCGGTG